CACACACACACACACACACACACACACACACTGTATACCCGAGATTGCATACCCGTATATGGCGCTTGACTCCTCTTCTACAATCTACGGAACTGACTAGGTTGAGTAGTGAAACACATTGAGTAGCCTACCGGTTTTTAATTTGTTTAAAATTGAAGCTTCTCTTCAGAATTAAAAAACGCCTATGCCTAGCAAGATTCAAGTTTACACTTGATATATGAAAACTACAGTCCGTGCCGGCTTTAAGCACGCCGGCCTTAAGCACGTTTCGGACTCAAGCACGCTAAACGGCTCTTACCGAATTTTTGCTTTATAAATTACACGCCTTTAAGCACGATAACTTCGGCTTCAAACACGCTTCATTTACAAGACAGTCAATACTTTCTTGATGACCAATCGAAGTTCGAACACAGTCTACACCGCAGCCGTGGAATGTGTCAAGAGAAACACAAAGAACGCAAGTGATGGACACACACACTCACACGGGTGGAGAGGAAGGCAGATGCAAGGGAGGCTGGCTGCGATTTCCCCTTTGACCCTCGCTATCCATTGATCCTGATTGTGTGGTGGGATGAAGGCGGTGGTATGAGTGGCACAGCGGGCAGTGGTACGCACAGGCAGTGTGTAGGCCTAGTGTGCTGTATCGTGACTGGCCGTCTAAATTAAGTTTTCATTTCCCATTCGACCACAAAACAAAAACAAACAAACGAACAAAAACTACCATGGCGGGTGTCTAAATAACAGTGCACACTTTTGCGGGACCGCTATAGGCCTACTTACAAACTAAGGGAAATAGCACGGGAAATGTTCTACATGAAAATCTCTGGATTATGTCTACTTCGCACTCAAGCACGCTTCGGCTTTTTAAGCACGCTTAAGCTTTCTCCCGACGACCGTGCTTGAAGCCGGCATGGACTGTACTGCATCTTAGATCAGACTAGTAGTCCTTTCAAGAAAAGGCACTCTAAATTGTTTTCAGATGCCTTCCGTCTTAATAATTACATGTATCTTTTTAAAATTATTATTTAGGGTGGGTGTGTCAGATGTGGGATGAATGTCATTTAATTATCCAAAAGATTCTTAGAATCTCAGTAGAAGTTCTCACTCAAAACAGCCAATCCATCTAGCATTTTTCTCTTTTAAGAAATGAAACTAAATGAGTAGGCCTACATGAATTTTGCAACATTTAACGGCATACGTGAGAATATGGGTCACCACATTTTAGGCCTATTATTGTGAGCACTGGTCTATAGTATAGGCCTACTGTAAAACTCTGTGTTACAATCTAGATTGTTACAAACCCTCCAAAATAAATAATAATTAATTATATTCTATAATTAAGCATTATCTCTGCTTGGCTGATCGTGGATCTTCTCCAAATGGAGAGTTTATGATGCAATGCAGTGAAAGCCGAAAGGAAGCTGCTGGGCAGAAGCCTCCATCATCATCCAAGTCCAAGTCTCTTCGGATCGGCTCGTGGAACGTTAGGACCCTTTATGAGGCTGAACAAAAACTGCACAAGTTCTCCAAGAAATATGCACCGATACCAACTACACATACTGGGAATCAGCGAGACCCACTTGAACCAGTCTGGACAGAAGCGAATGAAAGAGGGGGAGCTTTTTATTTATTCGGGAAATGACAGTGATGGACCACACATGGAAGGAGTAGGGATGATCATATCAAAAACAGTTCAAAGACATTTAATGGCTGGGAAGCACATGGTCCAAGGATCATCATGGCCTCATTTGGAACTAAGAAAGAACTCAAGGTAAGAGGTGGTAGGAAGAAGGTCATTAACATGAACACCATACAAGTGTATGCTCCAACCAATGATGCAGAAGTGGAGAATAAAGATGACTTCTATAACCGCCTGCAGAACGTCATCGACAAACTTCCAGGTAAGGACATCAACATTGTCATGGGAGATCTAAATGCAAAGGTAGGTTCGGTCACAATGAGGAAATCAATGGGCAGACACGGATTAGGAGAGGCAAATGACAACGGAGAAAGGTTCCAAAACTTCTGTACGTTCAACAACTTGGTCATTGGAGGTACAATCTTCCCTCATAAAAGGATTCACAAGGCCACTTGGGTCTCCCCGGACAGAACAACGGAAAACCAGATTGACCACTTTTGCATCTCCCGAAAGTTTAGACGCTCACTGGAGGTCGTCCGAGTCTTACGAGGAGCAGACGTCGCATC